TCACTGAGGTGGTTAAAAAGCTCCTCTGTGGCAAGGCTCCAGGGGTGGATGGGATCTGGCCAGAGTTCCTTAAGGCTCTGGACGTTGTAGGGCTGTGTTGGCCAACGCAGCCTGTTGTTGCTTGGCATCCAAAGGCTGGAGGCTAGGAGGGGGATCTGGCAGTCTGGCTGGAGTCTGAGTGGTGAGTTGCTTTGCTCGGCGTTGGGCAAGGGAGCCTGCTCATCAGCACCCCAGCAGAAAGGGTCGAACTCTGGGAACCGGTGCTGGTTGTATCCTTTGTGCAGCAGTACCGGGACCAGAGTGAATAGGGTGTATATGGGGAGTATGAGTGGGTTTCTGGTGTGCATTTTTATGAGTATTAGGTTGTGTGTGTGAGCATGAGGGAGGGAGTGTGTGACTGTGTTTGTGTATGACTGTATATGTCAGGTGGGGCCTTTGACTCCTCCCCTCTCCTGGGACTTCTTTTGCTGCTATACATCTTCACCTCCCCTCCCCTGTCACACTTGGTGTGGAGTGTGGTGCCTTGGTCTGCCTAAAGCTTGGTTTATGCTTGACGCATTCACTTTCCGCTTGGTGATGCGGCTCGCGGATGAAACGCGCTTCACAACTCGCAGCGTTTATGGTTCATGCGGCTTGTCTCTGCGGTGAGCCAATATTCTCCCAAACTGTAGGGGGCAGCATGGAGCTCTACAGCATGCATCCAACACTACACCATAGTAGAAGTAAAAAATTACTGTTGTTTACAACACGGCATTCCAGCATTTTTAACAGCGTCCTCGTCTTTTCCGACAGTGCGAACTATTTCTCTCCAAGAATTATTAAAAACATGTTGATCACGGTGATCTCTGAGAGCTGAATCATACAAATGTCTGTATTTACGAACCTCTGCCATACTAGTTCTTGCCGGTCCGCCATGTTTTTCCGCGTCTGACCGTCCGCGTGGTTAGAAAATTCCCTAGGTGCACGTTGCGGAAATTTTGGGCCGTGCGGAAGCGCGGTGGAGGGGCGTGGTTGTTAAAATGACGTAATTTTCCCGCACGGAGCCGTGCGGACCTCGCTGACGCGTCAAGCATAAACCAAGCTTTAAGCTGGGCGGCCACTGTGCGACTTTTTCACTCATAGCACTCAGCTTCAGCTCAAACTGTACGACTTCCTCGCAGGGCAGGTCTCACGAGTCATGTGCTCACACTGTACGACCTAGTTCTCGGATGCGTTCTGACTGCTCACTACATCTGGTAGCAACACGTCTGACCTAAAAATATGCTAAAAATAGCTGTTTTTACACAGCATGTCAGACTTTTTTGTCGTGCCTGTTGTCCTTCGGGAGTGCTGCAGGGACACACAGGGATTTACGGGGGTTGGGTGAGGAAAATGAAATAAAGAAAGTAAATCTGTGTTTTGTGATCAGTTTAATTTGACATGAAGACGACAAACACGCTTTCTTGACAATCTTTGTGAGTAAAAAAATGTGTGGGAATAAAAACGAACAACGTGTGTTATTAGGGAAATAGCGGGCGAGCGGTGTTGATGCATGATTGCGCATGCGGCGTGAGCGGTTCTGATACTTTTTGGGTTGCAGCCGCTCGCAGCTCCGCTTCAACAGTGCGATACCCTCACGAGGGACGAGCAAAATATCAAACACGCCAGAAATCCGTGCAAGCTCACGATTGCTGATCGGTAGCTGGTCACGTGGTGTTAATCGCCTCTCGTAACCCCCTGTACACTACACGACGCTCAGCGCAAAACTCGCCCCGATCTCGTGGATTCTCGCACAAGTGGAAAATCGGTTAAAAAAAAGTGAAAAAGTCGCAGTGTACGCCCGGCTTTAGTGTTCGTGGCTCCCGGGTCAGGGGGTTTAAGATTTTTAGCATCTGCCTGATTAATCCCGGTGGCTGCCAGGTGGGATCTGGGTCCCTGGACTCTGTTGGGTCCCCGGTGGGGCTGGTCGCCCCTGGGTCCCGGGTCGCTGGGATCCGGGCTCGGCCGGTTTGGGGGTGGGAGGCTGCGGGTGGGCCTGTGGGCTTGCTGCTGATATCTCCCGGGACCCTGCCGGCTGCTGGTTGTGGCACCCTGGGGCAATCCTCTGCACCTCTCAGGGGGCAGGGTCTTTTCTGGTCACAGTCTCCCTTGGGTCCCTGCACTCTGGGGCAGCACCTGCATTTCTGAGACTTGGAGGGAACGCCGACCTCTGGACACGAGGGAGCGCCGACCTCTGGACACGAGGGAGCATCGACCTCTGGACACGAGGGAGCGTCGACCTCTGGACACGAGGGAGCGTCGACCTCTGGACACGAGGGAGCGTTGACCTCTGGACATGAGGGAGCGTCGACCTCTGGACACGAAGGAGCATCAACCTCTGGACATGAAGGAGCGTCGACCTCTGGCTGGAACAGGATACGGTGCGACCTCCGGGACCACCACGGGAACTGGATGTGGTGCATCCACCGGGACCACCGCTAGAGCTGGAGCTGACTGAACTTGTGGTGCTGGTAGTGTGGAGAGCAGGGAGGATAGATTGTCCAGCTGGAACTCCTGGAGACTGAGGCTCTGATGGAGTTGGGCCAGCTCAGCTCGGAGACCGGCGAGCTCTGCTGGGTGGACTGAAGGCTCTATCCTTTGGCCAAGAGATGAGGGAGCTGCAGACTGGACCGGAACCTTCTCCTGGTGATTCGGGGAGGATAGGGTGTCCAGCTGGAACTCCTGGAGGCTGACGAGCTGACAGATCCGGCCAAGCTCCGCCTGGAGGCCAGCGAGCTCTGTCAGCTGGGCTGTAGGCGTGGTTCCTCCACCTGCAGATGACGGAGGTGCTGATTGGACCGGAGACGGGACTGCTGGTCTGACTGGGGGCAGGTCCATGCTGGCGCGGCAAGCCGGAGCTGCGGCGAGCTCATGGCTCCGTCCCGGTACCGGGGGGACAGTGGAGCCCGGCTTCCTTCCCAACGCCGTGGGCCAGCTCCGGGGGAGCACACAGCCAGTCTGGTGCCCATGTAGCAGGAGCGGTCTAGCTGCGTCTCCTGGTCCAATCTCACATCTAGCTCCGGGAGGGCGGAGGGGATCGTTGCAGCCGGGGTTCGGCGACAGCGTCCGCGGCGAGACCAGACCAGAGGAGGAGAAGCCGGCCAGTGAACTGTGGTTAAAAACTGGAGCAAACGCTCCCAAGGAAGAACCTCCCTGCTGGATCCTGTACTGGGTTGACTCATTCTGTCAGGCATGCCGGTGAGTGAAATGGAGGTGAGGATCCACACGCGGGTGAGGGAAGCAGGCAGGCAGACAATCTGGAATGAGGAGAGCACGCAGGACAATGAAACAATGAGCCAACCAGACAAAATGGACTAACAGGGTTTAAATACAGGAGAAGCTGGGACCTTGGGTGATTGGGAGACGAGAGGCAGGTGGGAGCAATTAACATGGACACAGGACTGAACAGAACGGGGAGACAGGACAGGGTGTGACAATGTTCATCCCTATAAAACATCTGCTTAATAAATGCTCTGAAACATTATCAGCTGATATTTGTTTTTTGGCCGTTTTGTATATTTAATACTTGGTCAGTTTATTGGTATTCTGTATTAATCTTGTTAAAATGTTGATTTTAACACATGAGCAGAGTACAAAATTAAGATTCAACAGTTGGTTAAATTCAGTGTTTAAAAACAGATTAGGCTCATAAATGTTGTGCATCCAGTTGTTATTAGTGATAATTTAGCATTCAGATAAAGTACCAAACATTGATATTAGCCTAAAAAAATCGGCATTACTTATCGGCCATCAGCTGACCACAACCGCCTCATATCCGCAATAGAAAAACCAACATCGGTCGACCTCTAGTGAAGATCATATACTTCTTCCTCCCATTGAAGTTATTTAATCTATCAACTGTTCCATGGTTACGCCTCATACAAAGAATGACAAAACTTTTATTGTTACGTACACCATAACTGTTATAAAATCAATTAGCTTCTTCAAATAGCATCCTATATTTATTTCAACTAATGACCATATTTGTCCCATTTATGTATCTGTTAATTTGTTTAATGTATTAATTGATTCATGGATTGATTGATTGATTGATGATTGATTGATTGTTTGATTGATTGATTGATTGATTGATTGATTGATTGATTGATGATTGATTGATTGATTGATTTAAACATTATTTGTATATCTCTGAAGTTCCATCAAATCAATCAGCCATGCATTGTCCCCCTTTTTTAAATGTGATTTTAAAACTATATCTTCCAGTGCACTTTCATAACTTATTATTATTATTATTATTATTATTATTATTATTATTATTATTATTATTATTATTTTACCTCAAGCATCAAATTGTGAAATATGACCTGATGTTTGACACATTCTGTTTTATTCTATAGCCTAAGAGAGAGGCTTTAATATAGTGTTTACATGTGTTAATTTGCTTTAGAAATCCATGGATTTCTGTTTGCTGAGTTTCTCATTTCTGTGACTCAGGTGACCTTCTGATATACCTTAACCATAATGTGTGTGCAGGTCAACTTTTACAGTCCACAGCAGCAGAGCTTCAGATGAGGAGCAGAGCTAACAGCATGCATAATGGATGAGAGATTTACTCTCCTGAAAAGGTGCAAAGACCTTAAACCTCTAGGCTGGGCATGTGTATGCACACAGCACACCAAAGACTAAGTATCCTGAATAAGAAAGGCAGAATGAGTCAAGAGAAGAAACAGAAATATGCACAAAAGCAACAGTTCTCCTGTCAAGTGATGTGATTTCTATGATTTGGATCTCCACTGCAGCAGACAGGCTGCAGAAATGTCGGCTGTCTTGTGGGCAAACATACATCTAGTTTTCTGTAGCAGAAGTGATTTTTCCTCCTTGAATGGATCAGCAGCTGTTGTAATTTAAACAGATTAAAAAATTGGCTAAACATCTACTAAGTTGAGGTTTCAAGTGTGAGTCCTCTTCCCAGAGAAAATTATATTTTGACTAATTCCTTTACTGTTTTCTTTTGTCTTCAGATATTGATGAGTGTGCGGAGGGCCTGATTGAGTGCCACAACCACTCCCGCTGTGTCAACCTGCCTGGCTGGTACCACTGTGAATGCAGAAGTGGTTTCCATGACAATGGCTCCTACCAGCTTGATGGAAGCTCCTGTGTTGGTGAGTAAACTGGGGATAAAACATACTTATCACTGCTGCAAATACCAGCCCCTCATCAGCTTCTCCCCTCCTCATTCTTACAGTTCCTGAAGAGTTTGCTTATCTCTACCTTTTCCCAGTGATTTGAAACATGTTATTCCTGTTGCTGCCTCTGGCAGTTTTTTATTAATTAGATTTAAGCTTTTCAGGTTGCTATTTGACATCCTTATAATTAAAAACTGCAAAGGTACAAGCTCGATGTGTACTGTATCACTCTATGTCAGGATGGTTCTAAGTTTGGTGACATCATACAAGTGGAACTTTTCATTAAGAAAATGTGGTGTGTGCGTTTGTGGTTGATTGTCTTATGTGTCTTTGTGTTACCCTGCAATAAGCAGCATGTACACCCCCACCCACCCCAATGGACATGGGTGCCAACCCCCTGCAATTGAAAGGATAAGTAGGTATAGGTGATGGATGGATGTTTCTCAATTTAGTTTCTTTATTGGTGGGTAAAGATCCAACACAAGCAACGTTTTGATAAAATTTTGGTCTGTCCCAATGGTTGCAAAATGAGTCCCACAAGCAATGATTTACTGGTAAAAAGTTGTTCTCACATCAAAGTGAAAATAAACCTAAATGGTTGATTTTGGTTATGTTTTCTTGGCTCTTCAACAACTCTGTACTCACATGAACGCTGCTTTAATAGGATACAGTAATTTAAATTCTAGACAGGTGAAAGGAAAACTGAGGGTACATAATCATATTGATGCCTTTGTGATAAAAGAAAAGGTTAGTTTGTTTACTTTATCTAAAGTAATTCACACAAGCTACTGAAAGGTGGACACAGCATAAAACAGTTTAAATAAAGGCAGATAATATAAATGCAATGTTAAAACAAATTTAAATATATTTTTAAATAATGGCACATCATTTTCAAAAATTGAATGTATGAAATAGCTGATAACAATGCTGGGAAGTGTAAAACAGAATTTAGTAAATGAGTAAAAGCTCTTTTCTCAAATAAAGCATTAAATAATTTGTATTTCAAAGTTTCTAGAAGCTCTATCGCCTTAACAGGATTAGTACTTTCCTGGCAAGCAGCTTATGCCGGCTAACTGCATAACTGAAGCACTGCACATGGCTTACTGCAGGTGGCTTACAATAATCACAAAGAAAATAATGCTGACATTTTGCCAAAATGCATTTAAAACAGTTTAATTTTTTTTATGTTAACCAGTTGGTTTTCTTTTAAATTTTCAGTATCAGTATACTGTTTATTTACAGTTTGGTTTTATAATGCATGAATACTAGTGCTCCAATTGTGTTTGCCTAAATGAAATTGAGTTGACTTGAATTTGAAGCATGTTAGGTAAATGAGACCGGTCGACCGGTCTAGGAGGACCAGAGCATTTAGAAGATCCATCCTCTACCAACATCCAGCAGCCATGTCTCATTCTATGTTATTTATAACAATGTATAGCAGACATTCAAATAACTGGAGGGGCCAGAGTGTAATGTCAGGGAGAACACAAAGCCTTAGAGAGAGAATCTTGGGACACTCTCTGAACTCGCTGGCACGTGGTCATGTGGTCCATGTAACCCTGAAAAGATGAAGATGGACAGCGGCAGTGTGACTTGTAACTGTTTAGTTACTGATCTACAGTTATTCATTCATTTATGCTGCTATTGTATCATTACTAATTCAAGTAAAGATTATAATCCCAATTTTACCTCAATTGATGAGGTACTGATATTAAACAGATGCAAATGAACAGTCCTGCAGTAAATACTAACTTTGTAAAGGTTCAGACGTCCTGATTGAGCTCTAGTTATTCTGGAGGACGCATCGTATTACCATGGTGATCTTGAGTTTGTAACATGCTTCACCAGGTTATAGAAGTCAGCTTCATGTGGTTTGTCTGAAAAATGTGAAATAATCACATTTTACTTTACTGATGATATCCCAATTTATGCTGTTGTCTGTCCGATGATCTATAACCCAAACTAACATGACAAATTAACTAAAACTGGCTACATGAAAAATCACGACTGACTTACTTTGGTTCGAGCCAGTCAGCTAATGCTTTACAATGCCAAAATGTCGTAATTTGATCAATTTACAAGAAGAAAACAGCTCCCAAACACAGAGACTGAACAGCATTCAACGGTGGAACTATCTGAAGCTCCGTGGCCGACGTGACATTCCTTTCTTTCTATTCGAGCCTATGGGAGTGTCCACAAGGTTCTGGGAGAACCTAATGCCAAAATAAACAAATAAAATACACTGCAAAAACTGATTCCTAAGAAAGTAAAACAACAAAAAACTTATATTCAGAAATGTTATCACATATTTCATCTAAAAGCAAAATAAATCATTCTCTAGAAAAATAGCATTTATTTTTCTTGTTTGAGTAAAAAAAAATCTGCCAATGCAATCAGCAAATGCTGCTTGGCTAGAATCGTTAAGACTTGTAAAAAAATAAAATTTTTGATTTGATTGCTAGTTATAAGAATTCCAGCCAAGCATCTTTTGCTTACCGCATTGGCAGAATAGTTTTTACTCAAAACAAGAAACTTTGGATCATATTTAAAAGTGTTTAACTTATTTTATGTGATGGGTTTTTTTTCTAGAGAAGAATTTATTTACTTGTCAGATGCAATATCTGACTGATGACACATTGTCGTCTGCTATAATGCCAACGCAGAAACATTGTAGCTCTGCTACTGTTTACACTGGCTGTTTGTGGGGCGTTCCCGGGTTGACGTCATTAGCTGGTTTGGGCTCAAATCAGAAGCCATCTTCTGTTTTAAAAACTGTGGATTTTCTTAAAAACCCAGCTGTGAAAATCCAAAAACCTTCTTCAGTTGAGGTTTTAATACTGTTTCACAATTACCAGCCAAAGTAATTGAACCTCTGGCCATATATTTTAAATATAATATTAAAAATAGAACTCATAGTAGATAGTTTTGTGTTTCAGCATTATTTTAAACCTCTAATCTGCTGCTTTCTGATTCCTGGCTTTGGCATTACCTGAACATCAGTGACTCACTAAGTTGTGCATGACCTTCTACTTGTAGGAGAACATGTGCTCAGTGTATCCCGACATTCCACGACATAACAATCCAAGCATGGCGTCTTGGTATTCATAATGAATGCAGCAAACAGAACTGCTTGACTGAGTGAAACCCTTCTGCCTCCAGTTAACCTTTAAGTCAAAATGCAATATCAGCAGAGTGTTCTCATTTATCCACCTGGTTGGGAGAGGTATGACCTCAGCATATTTCCGCTGAAAGTAGTCTCATTTAAATTCAGCAATTCTGCAAAAACCACTCTGCTAGGCTATGTTGTGGTGAGTTGTAGAATTGGGGAATTTGAGCTGTACGTGTTTGAACCTGTGAGAAATGCACGAAGAGGAAGGTCTAATTATACAGGCAGCATCCAGGTGGAAGGATCAGCATGTCTTTTGATCTTAAAAACTTTAGAAATGGGATGTTGCATAATGAGCTCAGCAACGCACTCAGCTGATAATAAGATGCTAATATTGGCAATATGTTGTTTTCAGTACAAAATGAGAACCAAACATAAAAGTCTTTAATATTTTGCACAACTTCTCAACAACAACTTGTGTATCAAGAGAATCACTGCTTGAATCCACAAGCTGCAAACGTGCAAGACCAAGAAAACAGTGCAAAAATAAACTCACCTATATATACATGCAGGTTGTTTTCAGCCCTCTGTAACTTTCCTCTTACTGAAACATACTTTCCCACCTGATTAGAGTTTCCATCTCTTTTCATTTCATTTCCTTCGCTCACATGTGAAAAAAGTAATTGTGTAAAGGAGGTGGTTAGGAACAAGCTTTCATTTTGTTTGTGTTTATATTTCCTGATGAAAATATATGTCCTCCCAATTATTTCATTAACAACGGAAGCAGAACTGCATGAAATTACTCCTCCAACAAGCTGGTGAGTTGGTTTTTTGGTGATCGGAGACTTGCATTGCTGATATCCATCTGTAAAGTTTTTATTTTGTGACTATTGAACACATTTGCACAGATTTGTTTATAATATACTGTATGTTTGCTCAATTTTGTTTGCTTCCCTCCTGAACTCGTGCATGTTGCTGTGACAGTTTACCTGATACCCCCCCTCCCACTTTGTGGTGTCAGGCTTCAAGTCAGCAGGGGAAATAAGTACAAATGGCAATTTAACTGGATTTCCCCCTCTGTAAAGTTCCTCAAAGAGCTTTTCAGATGTCACCCAAGCATAAAGGAGCAGGGTAGCTGGATCAAAACAGAAAACAGTGGAATCAAGTTAACAGCTAAAGTGGCAGGTTTGTAAGGAGTTGTAGAAAGCTGAAAAAGACATGAAAAGCACCTTGTGAATTTGTATTTTCTCTGCAAAAGCCTTATTCAGGCTTTCTGGGTTAAGACAACAGCAAAAATAATGAAACTTATTGGAGGATAAGTCCACATTTGTGAATGCAAACCCTTTAAAACTATTTGTCAAATGTATGGTTTGTTGTAATGTTGGTGCTGATTTCAGAGCATCCTGGTGTGTGCAACATTAATCTACTGTATATGAGCCTTTATCTCTGAAGTGGCTGCACAAATGAGATGGCTATTTATCATGTTTTCACTGTTGATTCAAATGTCTGCATCCTGTTTTTACCCCTGAAAGAGGAAAATATCACAGTAAAGTTTTGCTTTTTAGAAGCTGTATGTCAATAATTTCAATGCAAGGTGTTCGGATGAGAACCAACAATTTTCCGTCTCCTTTCTAGTTTTGACTGAAAGCTGCATCTAAACCCATGTTTATCATGCCAAATGCTTCGGGTGGGGGGTGGGGTGGGGGGCAGGTAGCTTTAATAAATCAGATTGTGAGTAAAGATGAGAACATTTTACCATAAATTGCTAGTGTGTTCCTGAAAGAAGGTTTATGCATGTTTTTTCTCCCTTTTCTGTTGTGATCACCAGATTTCATGTGTTTGCTTGGAAATGGACCAAAGAGAAATTATT